AGACCCTCTACGAGATGGATTGGCCAAGTGGCAGCATCAATGGACTCAAGCATGGAAACAGTAGTGAGGTTGTCCCAGGATCAGGCAGTGTGACTTGATGGTACGTAACAACCTTATACCATTGAGAACTGATTATGGTAGGTAGTGAATTGTCTATTACCGGTCCTGTGTGGCGCCTTAGGATAAGCACTGGACCTCTAACCATAAAATCGGTGGCTCAAACCCACCAGCTGTTCCCAGAAAACCCTACGTGAGGTTACTGAGTTGGAACCAACTTGATGGCACTTAACAATTCAGTCTAGGTAGGCCTTGGTAACCTAGAAACAAGACAGGCTTAACTTCAAATTCCAGTTCTATCCACATATTGGCTGTATGAGTTTGAGGCAGTAATACCATTTCTTATCTATAAGAGGGGCAGCTTCACTCTGTGTGTATGCATGCAAAGGAAAAAAAAAAAAAAGATGAGCATTTCCTACAATTGTAGATCTTGATTTTGGCACTGTTTGTACTACAATGAGTGTACGATATTTCACTTTATGATGGAAATGTAACTTATAACTAGCTTATGCAAAAAGGGGAATTTGCTGGTTACATAATAGGGAAGTCCAGAAGTGGTGGTACTTGTTCCAAACCTCACGGAAGCAGCCATCTCCTCTGGACTGGCTTTGTACTGGTCACCTCTTGCCTCATCAGGAGGGTGAGGAGGGTGGACAGTGGGGAACAGACAGCTTCCAAAAATCATCACCACATAGCACCTCCACAGCTTGACTGTTGTTTCCTGCACAAACCAACCAGCTCAACTTGGGATACAGAACCGTGCACACTGATGAGATTGGGATTCTGACAGAGTAGAACTGCCACTGTAGGTTTCCGAGACTATAAATCTCGGTATCTTTTTTGTGCAGAATGGCTAGTGGGTTTGAACTGCTGACTAGATGGTTATTGTGAAATGCTATCAAGTCAGTTCCAACTCATAGCAACTCTGCATAGGGTTTCCAAGAAATGGCTGATGGGTCTGAACCGCCAATCTTGTGGTGAGCACTTCAGTGCTTATCCTATAGCACCACACCAGGGTTCTCTAATAGGAGGGGCACAGGGTGCATAAAGTTCCCAGCTGGCCACTAGAGGGAAGAGTAAAGAGGTGAGGACCCCCTATGAACATAGCAACTGCCCTTTCTCCAGGCCCAGGCTGGGTCATAGTAAATCAATCAAGCCCCTGCTTAGGTGTAAATAAAACACAACAAAACAAAAACAAAACCAACTTTATTTGACAAAAGACAAAAACAGAAGTTATTTACAGTAGTTTTTTTCCTCAAATAATACAATGGGATAACTGTGCTTTTCTTCCAGGTTTTTCTCACAACCAGACCCAAGCAGAGGCTGCCACCCCATTTCACATGGGGAAAATGCCAACTAGAATTCAGCAGCATGGCTTCCCCCACTTGTCACCGCCTCCATTTCGCAGTGCACTATGGGAAAGGAAAAACCTCATCCAACTCTATATCCAGTTCCCTGTTAACAGTCACACCAGACCTGGCCTCCCAGACACAGGTGGGGTGGAAGAGGTGAGGCAAACAGAGGCTTCAACTAAACTCGAAGCTGCCATGGTGTCCTTTCTTCTCCAGCTGGGTCTCAGGAGGGTGAGGATCCCCGACCTCCCTGAGGCAACAAGGTGAGGTTATGAAGAAGAGGTCAGGGGGGGCAGCTAAAGAAAGCCCAGGGCAAGTGCCCACCCAGAGAATAAAACACCCTCTCCTAGTATAGCTCCCTATGGATGAAGCTGGGGGGCCTCCCTGAGGGCTTCAGGGATCTTCCCAGACTCACTCAAATCTGCCAACACCCAGGAACCCTAACCCCTCCTAGTGCCTAATCCCTGGTAACCTCAGAAACTACAGGCTGGGGCTCCTGGCCTGTCTCTTGGCCCAGTAACAATGCAACCCAGAACAAAGTTATCAGGCTACTAATAACCTAGGATTAGTGTTTCTTAGGATATATAAAGAGAGGGTATATTGCCATTGAACACTCAGCTATGAAACAGAAACATAAAAAATGGGAAGGTTGGAGAGGGGGGAAGAATAAGACAACTATGATCTTTTTCACTGTGAATTCAGGGGCAGCCACTGCAACTTCAGTTTAAAGAAAAGGTGCAACACAAAAGGTGAAATAGCAGGACAGGTTTCCTAACCCATTACCAGCCCCAGGGCTTGTCTGAAGGCAGCTGCTCAGACAGCTGGGGGCGCTATTACCGGTTTCCTGCAGTCACCATTGTGGGAAAAGCTGCCTGTCTGAGTCAGAAGACTCATAAGTTGAAGTCAGAAGACCTGACCACTAGATGGTTCATGTCTCTCCAAGAAGGAGCTGCGGGAATTTCTGACTAATCAAGTTCCTGAAAGAATTCCCAACAGGCTGCAGGACAAAGCAATCAGGAAAATACAGAAATGGAAAACATAAAAAAAAAAAAAGACAACAACAAAACACCCCCCAATGCCTCAATCTAGCTTACTCCCCCCACCCCCTGAAATATAATAACAGAAATGAAAAAAACAAAACAAAAACCAAACAGCTCTCTCTGGTTTGATCGTCCTTCTCTGCTGGGCCTAGAAGGTTTGATCAGATTCTCTGGTGGCTCCTCTACCTTGGCTGTGGCTTTGTCCCCTCTTCTCTGCCTAATGCAGAAAAGTCAAAGTCCATAAAAGTTTTCATTCTTTTTTGGTTAACCAAATCCCCAATAATGGAACAACCATGTGGAATTCTCACATTACTACAGAGATTTAGCTGGTCCCCAAAATAAAAGCATGCCCTTCTTTGTGAAAACAATCACTCATTCCCAGTTCACCAGACTCCACACTGTCATTCCCCACACCTGAGCTAACTACTGCCATTAATGGAAACCCAGCAAACACGGGGAAACAGAGGTTAGCGAACAGCTACACATTCAACTGGAGTCGGTTTTGTTACGCTTGCTGAGTTCTTTATGAACTTGGAATGTCCACACTGGCTCAGGGACAACTTGGAACCAACACAGAGGTGTGTGGCCTGGGCAAGTTTCCTGAGCCCAGCCCAGGAAAGCAGGCTGGAACAAAGGTAACCGGGGAGTCTCTGGAGCAGCAGCAGCAGCAGCACCATGCCTGTCTCCGATCCCGCGGTTCCATCACTGCGAGGCGGTCTGGAGTCAGTGGAGGAGGGCGCCATCCCAGCGCAGTGACGCCGTTGGCATCTTTCTGTTGCAGACCTCTAGACAGGAGACGATTCCAATGCTTGGCAGTGATGCATAGAAAACCCTCTGTATGAAAGGGAACCAAAACGGAAACCCAGGACAACTAGCTCGAGCCTCCAGCACCCCTGTTGGCAGATGCCTACTTGGGGTTTTCAGAGACTAGAGGGATGGGAGTGTGCATCAAGGCAGGTGGTGGCGGGTCCTGCTGCTTCTGAAGCTCCATCTCAGCAGCCCTCTGTAGTGCCACCTCCACCAGGAGCTGGAAGCTGCTGAAGTCCTCCTTGTCCTGCTCTGGAGGTGTGGGTGGCGGCGTGTTGAAGAGTCCACCTGTGGGGCTTCCAGCCTCAGCCCTGGTGAGCAGAGTGAGTGTGCTACCAGGGGTCACCAAGGACTTGGGGGGCTCCAGTTCCCCCTGTGGGAAGGCGGCTGTTGGCTTCTCACTCTGACCTGGGTGAAGTGGCATTGAGCACACAGACAGGGAAAGCACATTGGTGGCAGCTGGAACAGACACAGCCATCACTGAAGGGCTGGTGCCCCGGGGAAGAGCCACATCTGACGCCTTACCCCCACGACGAGAAATGGTGAACTGGTTAGGGTCTTTGCCATCCTTCCGAAGCATGTCTGGGAGAAGCCGCCGACGGGCATTGATGAACCAGTTACAAATCTGGAATGGGTATGAGAGACTTTGATCAGTTCACCCATTCAAAAATGATTCCAGCCCTCAGAGGTTCATAGTATCAAGACAGTTAAACAAAAATGAATGTAAAACTGCAACTGTGGTTTGGTCAGTGAAGGGAAGTCACAGGGTGCTGTTAGAGACAACAGAGGGTCCCAGTCTTAGTCTCTATGGACTCAGGGAAGTAGTCTCTGAAGAAATGGCTCTTACAATGAGATTGGAGAGGTAAGTTGTTTAAGTGAGGGGCAGAAAAGGAACAATTTGAATGAAAGGCACTGCAGTAGTTGGTAGCAGAGTAGCTAAGAGGAACTCAGAGGGAGACAGCAGGGCTGGAGCTTAAAAGCCATTAACTAGAGGTTACAGCCTAAGGTGAGGAATTTGGTTATTTATGCTGAGGGCAATAGGGAGCCATAGAGGAGGGTTCTATTCTGTGGAGAACAGAGTAGAAGCAGAGAGACAGGTTAGTTTACATTAAGGGAGGGGGTTGAGAATAGGACAAATGAATGATTTATCTGGGAAACTGGATGTGGGTGGATGATTCACGCCTATGTTTTTACAGCAGTCTCACTACAGGCCAGAGCCACAAAGACACAAGGGGGCTGTCACTTAGAAGACAAATTATTCTTGTTTCCAAGCAAAACTAGGCCTCTTGGCTCCAGGTGAATATGTATTCAACCAACATCCTCCAGTCTTTTCCCATGTGATGCTGAGAAAACTACACTAACCTTGACCTTGTTCTTGTCTAGATAATTGTTTCATCTTTTTGGACCCACGCACAAGGCCTGGAATTTCTCACTGGTAAAATGATATATTGCAAAGCTCACTGAATATGTTTGTTGAAAAAGTGAGCCAAAGTCAGATACAGGACCCTACTCTTCAGGAATTTATTGCTGGGTTTCAGGGAGACATCTAACACCCTGCCCCATATCTGTCTGGACTCTCCAACAATCATGCCTTCTCACTGACTATAAGTTCCCTTTCTAAAATGCAAATGATTGTAAGTCCTACTCTAGAAAACTACCATTTGTCTCCTACTGCCTACAGGATCAAGCCCAGACTCCTCAGTCAACTTATCATGGATTATGTTTCCAGTCACACCGAAGACATTATCCCTTCCCACATTAAAGGGATTAAAGTTGTGTGTCAACTTGACTGGATCAAGATTCTCAGTGGGTTAGCCATTAAGGTGTAGTAAAATTCCCCATGAAGAGATCTGCTAAGAGCAGCCAATCAACTAAAAAGAAGTTTCCTTGGGGATGTGACCAGCAATGTCTTTCACACAAAGATAAAAGGAGAGAAGTCAGCAAATTAAGAGGGGCCTACTACCACCAATAAAGAGGAGCCAGGGATGAAGTACATCCTTTGGACCTGTGAAGCTCCTAGATCCAAGTGAAGATTGATGCCAAGATACATGGCGATCTCCAAAGAGCGTTGGGCCTACAGATGCTGAAAGGAGACAAGGGCCTTTCCCCAGAACCGACAGAGCGCCAGCATTCTGAAGTTGAATTTCTAGCCTCCTAAATTGTGAGATAATAAAATTGTTTGTTAAATCTATTTGTGTTGTTATAGCAACATGAGGTAACTCGACAAGCTCTCATTCTAGTCTGCTCTGTTTTTCACAAAAGCGCCATACCTCTGTATATACTACATTCCTTCTTTTTGGAATGTTCTCATCACCTGGGGGAATGTCCACCAGGTGTTTTAGCTGATCTAAGATACTGGAGAAAGAGCAAGGGCCGAGGAAATAGGTTCCAAAGACATCTATCTCCTGGCCTTGCTGGTATAGGGCCTGACACAGTTCCTTTTTTCACAGGAGTGGCTGCCAGCATGAGGGCAGACACAGTATGCAGAAGTGTGAACACAGTTGCTGCACATCCAAGTGCAGCAGGTACGTAAACACTGCATCACCCTTGACCACCTGGAGCACATTAACAACTCCAACTGCTTTTCCTTAGAAATGTAACAAGACCAGTTGACTCGGGATGCTAACCTCAAGGTCAGCAGTTCAAAACTACCAGTTGTTCCACGGGAGAAGAATGAGGTTTTCTGCTCCTGTAAAGGTTTACAATCTTGGAAACTGTATGTAGGATTTCCGGAACTGACTCCCGGCACACCACCACCGCTTTTCCCCTAGAGATGTAAAACCCACCAGTTGCTCCTTGGAAACCCTACACAGGGCTGTTCTAAGTTGAAACCAACTCGATGGCACTTCTCAACAACAAGATAGGTGGTGTGGTGCTATAGGATAAGCCCTGGATTGCTAACTGCAAGGTCAACAGTTCGAACCCACCAGCTGCTCCTCAGGGTCACTATGGGTTGGAACTGACTCAAGGACACTTAACAAGATAGGCACTCTTACCCTTCGGCATATTTCTGGGAGTTTTCCCTGGTGGTGCTATGGAGTTAGGTGCTGGGGTGCTAATAAGGTGGTGGTGGTGGTGGTGTTTGCCGTGGAGTCAATTCCGACTCATGGTGACCCTGTGCAGGGTTTCCAAGGCTGTGAATCTTTACGGGAGCAGAAAGCCTCATCTTTCTCCCACGGAGCAGCTGGTAGTTTCAAACTGCTGACCTTGCGGTTTGCAGCACGACTCGTAACCACTTGGTGGTCCAAATCCACCAGCCCCTCTGCAGGAGAAAAATGAGGCTGTCTGCTCCCATAAAGATGAACTGGAATTGACATGATGGCAGTGGGTTTTGGTTTTTAGTTTGGTACAGCTAGGAAAGAAACCCTGGTAGTATAATGGGTTCAGTGGCAGCTAACTGAAAGGTTGAGGTACAAACCCACCAGTCGTTCTTCAGGAAAAAGGTGTGGCAGCCTGCTTTCCTAACGATTTAGTCTAGAAATCCGTATAGGGTCACCGTGAGTCGGAATTGATCCCACGGCAATGGGTTGGGGTTGGTACACCTATTGAATTTTCTTCTAATAATCAATAGTCCTATATGAGAAGAGTTTGAAAAACTCAGACTTTACTGCTGAACACACCAAAGTCAAAGCCTGGTGAAGTCAGTCAGGAGGCACCTCCAGCTAGTGGTCTCTTAGCCTGGGCCTTCAGAGCCACTCCACTCAGCATCCTGTCTGAGGGCAGCGCAGGGCCTGGCTACTGGACACTCCTTCCTGCTGCTCCCCCTCCTCCTTTCAGTGCTTCTTGATCATTCTCAAGTCACATGTGAATGCCTACTGAGGCCAGCAGGAGCCCTGGTGGTGCTGTAGGATGAGCAATAGCCTACTAACCCCAAGGTTGGGAGTTAAAACTCACCTGTGACTCAGTTTGAGAAAGATGAGCCTGTCTGCTGCCATACAGATGATAGCCAGGCCCATTCTTCCTTGGTGCTGGGGATGCTTTTAAGAATTAAACAGACATGCCCTCTGCCTGTGGAGTGGAGCTTCCAGTTTGTCTTACTAGGAATACTGGCAATACACAAACACCTACTGGTGAGCACCAGGAAGGGACTGCATAGGAATGAAAGGGCGGCCATATAAGGACAAGGGGGACTTCTATACATAACTTGCCTGGGAAGGCTGATACCTAAAAGATAAAAAGAATCAGCCATACAAAAAGCTGAGGGAAGACTGTCCTAGACAGCAAGTAGCAAGTTCTTGGGGGCAGAAGTAAGTCTGCCTTAAGGAACTGACACAGAGAGAATGTTAGGTATGGACTGAACTGATCTGGGTAAGCCAGAACTCCCGTGTAAATGGTTACTGTTGTTAAGTGCCGTTGAGTGCATTTTGACTTACAGCAACCCTGTAGAGGATTTCCAAGTGTGGCACTGTTGGATCAGCACTGGACTGCAAACCACAAAATTGGTAGTTCAGATCTACTTGCTCCTTGGAAACTCAATACAAGGTTCATTATGAGTTGGAATTGACTCAATGGTACTGACATCAACATAGGGTTTCAGAGCAGATGGTGTGTTTGAACCACCAACCTGTGGTTAACAGTCAAGTGCTTATTCTACAATGCCACCCCAGGACTGCAGGGTTGAATTGCTGCTGTTGTTAAGTGCTGCCGAGTTGGTCAGAACTCATAGCAACCATGTATAGGGCTTTCAAGGCTTGTAAATTTTTTGTGAGAGCAAAATACTGCCCTCTCAAAACTCATGGATACCCAGAATCTCAGGAATGTGACTTTATTTGGAAATAAAGTCTTTGCAGATGTGATAAATGAAGATATAAAGTCATAAGGCATCAGAGTTTTGAGTGACCAGACCAAGGACTGCTGTAAATCCAGGAGCTGGGAAGAGGTAAAAATAGGTTCTTCCCTTAAACTTCAGAGGGAGCAAGACCCTGCTGAAACCCTGGTTTTGAACTTTTAGGCTCCAAATGTGAGAAAATTTCTGTTCTTAGCCACCCAGTTTGTAGTTTTGTGATAGCAGTCCTAGAAAATGCATACAGGGTCTACACTGTGACAACAATGCCTGGCATTTCATACTCTAGGTCTTTCTGGCCCTGCCTCTTCTCTCCTCAGTTAGTTCCTCAACAGAGCATGCAGTTAAAAGCCAGCTGCAGTAGGGGAAAGAGAACAGCTCTTGCGCACTCCCTTTGGGAAGCTGAAGTCTGTGGGCTGCAGTAGTGCCTAGCATTGATATTTGCTGCATGGATTAAGACTGGGCCTCCACAGGGTTCCTTACCATTTTCGGACTCTAGGGATTACCAGGCTTCTTTTTTGGCCCCCATCTGAGCAAACCCTAGGCTACCACACCTTTCCCAGGGTTCCGTCCATATGACTGTTCAGCCAAATGGGGAGTCACTTATGAGAGAGCCTGGCACTCGGAGTTGGCATGGCCCCTTTTCCAGGTAACCAGGGGATAGCACCAGAGCTCTGGTCCTGTCAGGATGGAAACTCCTGGGTACTTCTTGTGGCCCTTCATTTCTTCTCCTTTCCAGTCTTTCTCTGTCCCTGAGGTCCTTATTCACCCCCACTCCCAATGGGGTCCTCCCAGTGCAACTGAGCAGGTGCACATAGCAAGCACCTGAAGATGCTCATTGA